ACCCCCTCTCTCTCTGTGGGCGCTGTACCCCCCCCCCTCACTGTGGGCGCTGTACCCCCCCTCTCTCTCTCTCTCTCTGTGGGCGCTGTACCCCAGTGTGCGCCCCGCTGTCTGTGTCTATGTAGCAGCCAATGGACAGAGCAGCACGTGGCGAGTCTAACACACGGTCCCACGTGACTGCAGCTACCTGTCCCTGGCTGCGCGCTGATTGGCTGGCTGTGTGACGTCACCGCCGGCTTTATCAGGAGCCGAGCTCGGGGAGCGAAGGAGATGCTGCTGCCCGGACTGTCCGCGCTGCCCCCTGTGCTGGGCTCCGTGCTGCCCCCGGGGGAGGAGGGGGAGGGGGCCGGCTTCCAGGTGGTGCGCTGGGAATGGCACACTGTGCAGGCTCCCTATCTGGTGGCTGTCTGGATCCTGGTGGCCAGCCTGGCCAAGATCGGTGAGCTATATGTACTAAGAGATCGGTGAGATCATCCCCACCATCAACCTCACCATCATCAACCTCACCATCATCAACCTCACCATCAAAATCACCATCATCAACCTCACCATCAAAATCACCATCATCAACCTCAACATCAAAATCACCATCATCAACCTCAACATCAAAATCACCATCATCAACCTCACCATCAAAATCACCATCATCAACCTCACCATCAAAATCACCATCATCAACCTCAACATCAAAATCACCATCATCAACCTCACCATCAAAATCACCATCATCAACCTCAACATCAAAATCACCATCATCAACCTCAACATCAAAATCACCATCATCAACCTCACCATCATCAACCTCACCATCATCAACCTCACCATCAAAATCACCATCATCAACCTCACCATCAAAATCACCATCATCAACCTCACCATCAAAATCACCATCATCAACCTCAACATCAAAATCACCATCATCAACCTCACCATCAAAATCACCATCATCAACCTCAACATCAAAATCACCATCATCAACCTCAACATCAAAATCACCATCATCAACCTCACCATCATCAAAGTCACCATCATCAACCTCACCATCAAAATCACCATCATCAACCTCACCATCAAAATCACCATCATCAACCTCATCATCAACCTCACTATCACCATCAACCTCACCACCATCATCAACCTCACCATCCTCAACCTCACCACCATCATCACCATCATCAACCTCACCATCATCTATATCATACCATTACTGTGCACCATCACCATCTATATCATACCATTACTGTGCACCATCACCATCTATAACATACCATTACTGTGCACCATCACCATCTATATCATGCCATTACTGTGTACCGCCACAATCTATATCATACCATTACTGTGTACCGCCACAATCTATATCATACCATTACTGTGTACCGCCACCATCTATATCATACCATTACTCTGCACCGCCACCATCTATATCATACCATTACTGTGCACCATCACCATCTATATCATACCATTATTGTGCATCGCCACCATCTATATCATACCATTACTGTGCACCATCACCATCTATATCATACCATTATTGTGCATCGCCACCATCTATATCATACCATTACTGTGCACCATCACCATCTATATCATACCATTATTGTGCATCGCCACCATCTATATCCTACCATTACTGTGCATCGCCACCATCTATATCATACCATTATTGTGCATCGCCACCATCTATATCCTACCATTACTGTGCATCGCCACCATCTATATCCTACCATTACTGTGCATCGCCAACATCTATATCATACCATTACTGTGCACCGCCACCATCTATATCATACCATTACTGTGCATTGCCACCATCTATATCATACCATTACTGTGCATCGCCACCATCTATATCATACCATTACTGTGCACCATCACCATCTATATCATACCATTACTGTGCATCACCACCATCTATATCATACCATTACTGTGCATCGCCACCATCTATATCATACCATTACTGTGCATCGCCACCATCTATATCATACCATTACTGTGCATCACCACCATCTATATCATACCATTACTGTGCATCGCCACCATCTATATCATACCATTACTGTGCATCGCCACCATCTATATCATACCATTACTGTGCACCATCACCATCTATATCATACCATTACTCTGCACCGCCACCATCTATATCATACCATTACTGTGCACCATCACCATCTATATCATACCATTACTGTGCATCGCCACCATCTATATCATACCATTACTGTGTACCGCCACAATCTATATCATACCATTATTGTGCATCGCCACAATCTATATCATACCATTACTGTGCATCGCCACAATCTATATCATACCATTACTGTGCATCGCCACCATCTATATCATACCATTACTGTGCACCATCACCATCTATATCATACCATTATTGTGCATCGCCACCATCTATATCATACCATTACTGTGCACCATCACCATCTATATCATACCATTATTGTGCATCGCCACCATCTATATCCTACCATTACTGTGCATCGCCACCATCTATATCATACCATTACTGTGCACCGCCACCATCTATATCATACCATTACTGTGCATCGCCACCATCTATATCATACCATTACTGTGCATCGCCACCATCTATATCCTACCATTACTGTGCATCGCCACCATCTATATCATACCATTACTGTGCATCACCATCTATATCATACCATTACTGTGCATCGCCACCATCTATATCATACCATTACTGTGCATCGCCACTATCTATATCATACCATTACTGTGCATCGCCACCATCTATATCCTACCATTACTGTGCATCGCCACCATCTATATCATACCATTACTGTGCACCATCACCATCTATATCATACCATTACTGTGCATCGCCAACCATCTATATCATACCATTACTGTGCATCGCCACAATCTATATCATACCATTACTGTGCATCGCCACCATCTATATCATACCATTACTGTGCACCATCACCATCTATATCATACCATTACTGTGCACCATCACCATCTATATCATACCATTACTGTGCATCGCCACCATCTATATCATACCATTACTGTGCATCGCCACCATCTATATCATACCATTACTGTGCATCACCATCTATATCATACCATTACTGTGCACCGCCACCATCTATATCATACCATTACTGTGCATCGCCACCATCTATACCATACCATTACTGTGCATCGCCACCATCTATATCATACCATTACTGTGCATCAACTGTATGACTCCGTACATCCCTTGTCATACTCTGTACTGTGCACAGCTCTGTGGGGTGAATCACTCTACCTGCTCTGTTGTAATACATGCTTTATTCAGAAGTTGCTGAACTGGGGGAGGGGGTTGTTTATTTCACATTATGTTTCAGGGTATACAGAATGTTCTCCGGGTCTTGGTATTTTGCATGTTTTCACTTAATAACTTTTCCTTTCTCACTCTGTATAGTGCATTCTCAATCTCTGTGTTGTCCCCCCCTTACAATGCCTCTCTCACTGCTTTATCTATAAATCCTTGCTGTCACATGTGCTTTAATCATGAGTGCATTTATCGTGTCTCATAGTTTAACGAACATGAATTAATGTAACAAATGGTTTTCAGGTTTCATGTGTATATGTTAATAGAACTAAATGACATAATGTAAGTGCACTGTATGTGAATATACATGGTGTGTATAGCACCCTGAAAGCACCAGCTCTGTATTTGTGAGCTCACCAGGTCCGATGCAGGGCTCTGCTCGTTGATGGAGAGTGCTCAGCTGATGCCCTTTGCCAGTGAGAGAAGCCCTGCATGGCCCTTGGTTATCTCAATGGAGCTAACCGGATTCTCTGTAAGAGAAATCAGACGCAAGTGTTCTTAAATAGTTTGACAAGGGCACTGCTAGCACCATAATCACTATAGTGCCCCATCGTGCCCCATCGTGCCCCATCGTGCTTGGAGTGGGTGTTTTTCAGTGTTTTGTGTCGAGGAATATGAAGTTTTCTTCTTAATGTGTACCTCACATGAATACTTCAAATGAGAGGGGAGCTCTAAGCAATAGAGCGCATCGCACTCTCACGCTTTGGGAGCATGCTTATACTAACTAGGCCCCAAAATATATAAATTAAGTTCAGCCCAAGGCACATTGCCCTGTTGTTCCTAATGTCCCAATATTGCATACCTTTCTTTGTGTATTGTTTTTTGATATGGACCCGGCTTTATCTTGTCTTCTCTTGTTTCCTTGGTTCCCTTAACTCCGCTCTTTTTTTCATTGTTGGAATTTTTTGGCTTCCTTTGACCTTGGATTGTTTTGACGTTACTATTCTTCCTTTCATTTACTCTTTCTATCCGGCCAGTCTAATGTCTTATTAAGAGACCTTTTCTCTATCTCTATCTCTCTGGAGGGTTTACATCCTCTGCTCCCTTACCCTCAATATACCATCTCTCCAGAATATCCTCCTCTGCTCTCTTACCCTCAATATACCATCTCTCCAGAATATCCTCCTCTGCTCTCTTACCCTCAATATACCATCTCTATACCATCTCTCCAGAATATCCTCCTCTGCTCCCGTACCCTCAATATACCATCTCTCCAGCATATCCTCCTCTGCTCCCATACCTGCACTGTACCATCTCTCCATAACATCGCCATCTGCTTCCTTACCCTCAATATACCATCTTTCCAGAATATCCTCCTCTGCTCCCGTACCCTCAATATACCATCTCTCCAGAATATCCTCCTCTGCTCCCGTACCCTCAATATACCATCTCTCCAGCATATCCTCCTCTGCTCCCATACCTGCACTGTACCATCTCTCCATAACATCGCCATCTGCTTCCTTACCCTCAATATACCATCTTTCCAGAATATCCTCCTCTGCTCCCGTACCCTCAATATACCATCTCTCCAGAATATCCTCCTCTGCTCCCGTACCCTCAATATACCATCTCTCCAGCATATCCTCCTCTGCTCCCATACCTGCACTGTACCATCTCTCCATAACATCGCCATCTGCTTCCTTACCCTCAATATACCATATTTCCAGAATATCCTCCTCTGCTCCCGTACCCTCAATATCCCATCTCTCCAGAATATCCTCCTCTGCACCCGTACAAGCACTGTACCATCTCTCTAGAATATCGCCATCTGCCTCCGTACCCACGCACTTTACTATCTCTCCAGAATATCACCACCTGTTCCCGTACCCATGCACTGTACCATCTCTCCAGAATATCGCCATCTGCTCCTGTACCCGCGCACTGTAACATCTCTCCATCTCTATTATACACACAGATCCATTACTGGGAGTATTATTGCTGTGGAGCTCTGTTATACTCTCAGACACATTACTGGGAGTATTATTGCTGTGGAGCTCTGTTATACTCTCAGACACATTACTGGGAGTATTATTGCTGTGGAGCTCTGTTATACTCTCAGACACATACTGGGAGTATTATTGCTGTGGAGCTCTGTTATACACTCAGACACATTACTGGGAGTATTATTGCTGTGGAGCTCTGTTATACACTCAGACACATTACTGGGAGTATTATTGCTGTGGAGCTCTGTTATACACTCAGACACATTTCTGGGAGTATTATTGCTGTGGAACTTTATTATACTCAGACACACCAACAATATGGAGATCATAGGAAAAAAGACAAACAGAGGAATTTGGGTCCATAATGCCCTTCCTAAATTGGGACACTTGGGAGTTATATTAAAGCACTGCCTTGAACTGTAACTTTGTCACTGAATTGCTCTCTGTCTATGTCCTTGCTCCAAGGCTAACATCTGTCTTCCACATTATGCAGGCCTACATGCATGTGGCAGCATGTCTGTGTAATGGTAAATATGGAGAAAATTCAGAAAAAATGGCCAAGCTGTGACAGTATCAGTTAGAGACAACATTTACCAATTAGGTGTTTTTTTTTTTTTGTTCTTTCAATTTACTGTTTAGATAGCACACCCCTCAGTGCATGTTCTGAATTCTGTATTTGAACTGTTGCAGAGAATGTTGCATTGTTAGTATCTATTTATTCTGAGATGAGAAATGTGCCCAGTCAAAGATTACAGCAGAGTTGTCACTTCTCTGGTAGTGAGTTTGTACTCCAATAAACACCATTATTAGTAGGATTTACTGGGTGTATTATACAGAACAGGTGTTTTATATCCACATGTACATTTCCTTAGTAGGTGTGCATGGTGTACCTGGCGCCGTGTGCAAAGTGAAAATATTGTGGGATTTTAAAGAAATAAATAGCACAATGAATGCTAGCTTATCGCGGCAGTCCCACTTTAATCAGCCCTGCATTCTGTGAAACTTCAAGCCATCTATCAATCACTCTGTGAATTTATATGGAGCATACACAGAGTGAGCCTCAGGTTATAGGTAACCTATAACCTACCTTCTGTGAAACACAAGGTAGGTTGCATTAATAAAGCGAGCTGTAGGTGGACGCAACGCGATGTTAGAAAGCGAGTGGGACACAGAGTTATTTGTATGAATGGGAAAGGGCTTTTTATGTATCTGGAAAAGGTTTTAGTGCGCTACAAAGACTGTAATGTGGTAAACAAGATATCCAGGTTTATTTGCCCCATTCATTAATTACAGTGAACATTGTTTGCTGAAATAGTCAAGCTATGAAAGTGTCTGAGTGGTAGAATTTGTATATTGTCTATTAAGGCTGCAATATGCAGTATCGCAGACAGTTCTCTACAATTCCTGATTAGGCAATAACCTACATAGTGAGGATGTGAATGCCACTCCAGGGTTTTGTGTGTCTGGATGGTGAAAAAATCATCCTTTATGGATGCTCTGAGTCTGTTTCAGGTAATGAGTGCTCATGTTGGAGTGAGGAGGCAGGATTAGGCACTGCGGGCAGATAGACTAACTTGCTAGGAGACATTAGTAGGAAACTGAACCTCGGTAGAACAATCATCATGAACTGGCAGTACTGAAAGGAAAGGTTTAACACTATATCGTTGCTCTGTGAGACAGAGGGCAGGTAAGTAAACAAGGAGAAGGGCAGGAGGATGCCTGTGTACCTGCAGGTGGCATAGTGAAGATCGTGTCCAATATCTTTACCTAAGTAAAAGTGGAATGTAGATTGCTATAGATAACTGGAGACTGAGTATATAGCTAAAACTTAACTTTTAATGCTATTCTTAATAAAAAGATGGGACTACTCCCCTGTTATAATCCTAAGGGAAGGTATCACCTGAAAACCAATGAAAATAAATCAATCAACAGAAAATATGTAATGTTAGTCAACGAAATAGTATCAGAGTATATTGAGTTCAGGTATTCGTATGTGAGCTTCCACTCAATATTAGTCGCTGGTGAGTGTGTGGAACTACCCTTTCTTTTATTTATATATTACACCATTACTGTATATTTTTATATTATTTTCTATTGAGTATACCAGCGCAATTTTTGGTGTAGTGTCAGGCAATTAGTTTCATTTATTGGTAGCGATTCTCTGTGAGTGCACGTATATTTGTCTCTATCTTAAGTCTGTCTTTGTATAAATTATCCCATTAGGTACTAAGAATGAATCTTCATAGTATTACTCATAGGCTTGATAGGAGAATGAATCTCCTGAAAGATAGAGATCCGGAGGATACAGATACGATCCCGGTGATTGAAACCAATATACATAAATTATTCTTTGAGTTAGAAAAAACCCTGAAGTCAGAAATGAGAGATTGGTGGGATAGTGCCCTTCTGAAAAAATATATTGATAATAAATTTATTCCAAGAGGTCTCAGGTTTGAGAAACAACCCTTTTTTAATGACAACACTCCATTAGAACAGGAATGGTTGGGGGCTCTAGATACCTGTTCTTTTGTACTTATGGATATCTTGGTCAGGTACAGAGAATCTAGACTCCTTGACACAGAAAAGTCTATTAAGGAAATACAAGAACGGATAGGTTCTGTACAGGAGCAATCCTCTGTTATTTCCAATTTAGACGAGGCCACTAATCAGAGACTTGTGGGTTTTGAGAAAGATTAGATTTTTCGTAAACAGAGTAAATTTCAGAGAGATAAACTTGATTATCAAAATGGACAAATTAGGAGCTGGCAACGTAAACGTGTCTCTAGGTCTACCCAAAATAATAAAAATTATCGAGAAAGAAACAAGGAGGGTAACATCATTTGCCCTTATTCATCCCCCGATAGGGGCTTTAAATCGAAGTCCAAAACTTATGCTGATATTGTAAAAAATCCCCGGTTTAGGAGGAGGTCTCCCTTCACCGTTAACAGGGGGAAGTCAGTTTCGAAATACAATAATAATAAAAATCGTGGAGCAGTTTTACCACATTATAAAAATATTAACAACTATGATAATCATGATCCACAAAATCCCAATCGGATTCCATTGGGATTTAACCCCCAATTTAATAGAGCTAAGGAGGGTTTTAAAGTTGGGTCTGATCTGACGTGTGCTCAAGGGGCTAGACCGAAAAAGATAGACCGCAATTGTCAGCCTGCTGGTGATCATTTGGATGATGATTTTTTAGAATCTCCCCCCTTCCATCAATTGGAAAAGGAGAAAACGTTTCCCCTATTCAGACGCCCCCACAAAAAGAAGGGGATCGATGTGGAGGATCAAATGGAAGGGGTGAACAGTCCAGCCAAAGTGAGATGCCTTTAAATAAAGGCTTGTTTAATTTATCAACCCATGAGTTAAGTATTGGAGAAACTATACTTCTAAATAAAGGACTCAAATATGCTCCTGATAGATTACCCAATATAATGGATTTGTTTAAAGATCTTAATTATTTTATTAGAAAACTTACATGCATTAGATTTTTTAATCTTAGTGATGCGAAGGGTAAAGATATTTGTCCTAAATTTCTCAATACTCCACAGGATAAAATTCTTTTTCATGGTCTTGTCTCTTTACTAGAGGAACAAGAACATCCATACTGTATGGAAGATCCTATTTATATAGTTGAAGCCAATATTCCATCAGGGTTAAAACCTCCCTCTACTTTCTATCCACAGGGTGATAAAGGCCCTTATTTACAAATGTTTTATGAATTTGTCCTACGAGATTTTAAGATCCTCTGTAGTGAGTACAAAAGGAGAAAAGATCGGGTTTGTAACAATCTGGAGCCATTTGAGATAGCGATTGCCAGTTTTAAAAAATAACTGTAATCTCATTATTAAAGGGGCGGATAAGGGAGGGGGTATTGTCTTGTTGGATAAAGCTGATTACCTACAGGAAGCTGAACGTATATTGGGGAATACAGAATACTATGAGACCTTAGGGTTTGATCCCACTAAGCGTTTTAGACGAGAATTGAGAGATCTCATAGATTTAGCATTTCAACATGGTGCTATTGATAAGAAAGAGAGATTTTTTTTTCTTTCAGCTAAAGGGGATATTCCCATTTTTTATTACCTTCCCAAGGTACACAAATCCCTTCATAATCCACCAGGGCGCCCCATTATATCGGGGCTAGGCTCCCTTATTGCACCCATTTCTAAGTGGGTAGATTTTCATCTACAAAGATTTGTCCCACATTTACCGTCCTTTTTGAAGGATACAGGGCATGTTTTGTCTATTGTTAAAGAAACTGAATGGAGGGGACACTATTGTTGGCTCACCATTGATGTGGCAGCCCTGTACTCAAATATAGATCATACTTTGGGCCTTAAAGCTCTTGCTTGGTATTTGGATTCAGATCCTCTTCTTCCTGCTAAGCAGTCTGAATTTATTATTGGGTTCACCGATTTTATGTTAAAGCACAATTATTTTGAATTTAATGGAAAGTTTTTCTTGCAAACAAAAGGAACTGCGATGGGGGCGAGTTTTGCCCCGTCCTATGCCAATTTATTTTTGGGTTTTTGGGAACAATCTGTGATTTTTTCAGACCAACTTTGGATGGGGAGACTCGCCCTTTATCGCAGGTTTATTGACGACATCCTTATTATCTGGAAGGGTGGTTGGGATGAAGTAGAAGATTTTATGGCACATATTAATGACAACCAATGGGGTCTTTCTTTCACCTATAAGAAACACAAATCCATCATAGAGTTCTTGGATCTTACCCTTATTGGAACTACAAGTTCGATTGTCACCAAAACCTTTCAAAAAAGTGTGGATGTCAATGGCTATCTACATGCCATGAGTGGGCACCATCCCACATGGATACAAAATATACCTTTGGGACAATTTACCAGGATCAGGCGTAACTGCTCCTATGTGAGTGATTACGAGAGAGAGTCACTGGTTTTGTCCCGACGTTTTGTAGAGAAATCCTATCCATTGAACAATATTTTACAAGCCTATTTAAAGGGCCATCATTATGGTATGGTATCAAGTTCTGGTGTTCAGAATGGGATGGTTTCTGGGGTAAAATCTCCTTTACCATTCCTATGTCCAGAACAAGATCATACAAAAGAACATTTTAAGATCCTTGAACTTTTGAATTCTAGTATTTTTTCAAATAAAGCTAAAAGAGCGAAATTTAACATCAGCACCAAAGAGGTTGGTACAGGGAGAACACCTATATTCTCTACCACCTTTAATAAGGGCTATGATGATATTATTGAAATACTCAACAAATATTGGCCTATATTGATTAAAGATCCTTGGTTGTCATTCTGCGTGTCTGGGACCCCAAGGGTCACTTTTAGAAGGGCACCAAATTTGAAGAATATTCTAGCCCCTTCGAAATTACGTAGTCCAACTATACTTCATCAGACAACAGTTGTTAGTACTTTGGCTAATAAACGTTGTGGTCACACCAGGTGTCTTACTTGTGGTTTTATTTGCCCTCATATTTCTACCTTTAGTCCATTTGACAGTACGGAGATTTTTTCTATACAATCTTTGATCTCTTGTAACACTTCTTTTGTGGTATACCTCCTTATTTGCCCTTGTGAACGGCATTATGTGGGCCAAACTATTAGATCTTTGAAATGTAGATTTCGGGAACACAGAACAGCTATTATACGTAATGATGGTAAATCTTCGGTGGCCCGACATTTCTCTATCTTTCATGATAGTAATCCTGTTGGTATTAAGTTAGTGGGAATAGTACATATTCCCCCCCATCAGGATGAAGCTAAACGGAGAAGGGAGCTCACTAAGGCTGAGTCCATGTGGATTTTTAAGCTCAACTCTATGACTCCTAATGGCCTCAATGAGGAGTTGGAGTTGTTCTGATCACTATGGATTCACCCTTTGTGGGTGGTATGTCCTTTCTGGTAATGTTATGAGACCTAGGGTCTTTTTTACGACAAGTTAATAGTATACTTTGAAATAATAACATGGTTTCTTTTCTACTTTTAATGTACACTCATATTACTATATATGTTGGTTGCCTGACCCTTTATATTAAGATGTTATACATATGTTATATTATGTTTATTTTATTTTTATGTATAAATTTTTTATGTTATTTTCTTTCTTATTGTGAATCCAGCCCTGGTTTTCCCCCTTTTTTTTTTTTTCTGCCGTGTGTGGGGTATTTATACCTGTTTGCTTACATACTATCTTTAGTCTTGATAAAGTCCCGTGGGAGGGATGAAACGCGTAGACAGGTTGTGTTCTGGACCTGCTGTTATCTGATTGCTGTTTTGGAGTGAAAGCTGGAAGCACATATCCATTTTGGCGGTCTTTTCTTCATTGGGCTCTGTTTGCTGGATCTTACCTTTGAAGCTGTACCTTACGGTGTCTGGTTATACTCCACCGCGGTCTTTTTCGAAGATTCCGACCGCGGTGCATCAGCTTATGACCTCCATGGATATTTAGTGTGCCGTATTCCTCTTTTATCACATTTTTAGACTCTTTGCTCTCCTTTTTTTACCTCGGTGGGGGCCCACACCGAGGACAGGTACTGTGTCTATATATTTTTACATCAGAGTATATTCGCTATTATACTTGTGTTAGGGTTTGGGATGGGGCAACACTAAGACACTTTGTTACTATATCTCCACATTGAGTCTGGGTGTTGCTACCACTCAATTTCCTCACTTATTAGAGAGCTGTGTGGTTACATTTGTTTCAGGATAGCGATATTGTTTTTATTTGTTATATAATTGGTCCAGATCATATTTTGTGTATTTTGATAATTATTTTTTAACTGTTTCTGATGAATAAACAGTGGTTTATCTATTCATGATTATAATTACTATTTTTATTCTATGATTGGGTAAGTGTCCACACTTTTACAGTTTGTGAGCTTCCACTCAATATTAGTCGCTGGTGAGTGTGTGAAACTACCCTTTCTTTTATTTATATATTACACCATTACTGTATATTTTTACAGGTATTCGTATGCCAAACTAATACATAAAGTAGTATTATATTGGTGGACAATGAACACCCCATTTAATTATATAATATAGATTTATATAATAGATCACTAGAATATTGATCTAACCACTCAAAGCTCTGATTAGTAACATTCAGGCCGTGGAATGTACTGTGTGTTAGGGCTAATCCTAGGATAACAAAGTTACACAGATCAAAATCTGTATCATCTAATGCCTTTGGGAATGGCTACAAAAGTATAAAACAGAGTATTGTTTAGTCTAATAATCATAGTAGTATAATCCCCCTGTCGTGCCTTTTGAGGGAACCCCTTTACAAAAGCTGTTCCTGTGTAGCAAGCAAACACCTGCACAACGGATACCCGTATGAAAGGTAACTAGTAATTGAACTAACGATGTAGCTAGTTCCGTATAAGCAGCTAGAAGTCATGGATTAAACAATGCGAGCGTCCGTCTGGTATCTTGGTCAACATGTAATTAAGTGGAGCTGTTTGCTTGCCTGAATCCCTGACACGAGTTTCACCTTTTGGCTCATCAGAGGGAAACCGGACTTCGGAAGTGTCCAGTATTTAAATTGGTATATTGATCCTGATTGGATCAGGTGATTTTAAATGGACCAATCCCTACTCAGGAAAGAAAATCATGAAAAAAATCTTATTACTAAAATCAACAACTAAGAGAATTACGAAATGAGTAAGTTGCTAATGCCTTATGTTAACAACTATAGTTGTAGTTATAGAGACTTAAGGAAAATTGTTTATTGTACATGGATTTGATACCAGGAATATATTGATCGCCATCAGTGTTTAAGCGAATCAATTCATTACATTTGTAATGGATCACCTGGCACCCAGACTGGGTACCACCGTTGACGGATGTTCCTAGTGCTTCCTGAGGGCACCAAGCACTCCACTAGACACCATAACCACCGCAGACCCCACAAACTACCGCAGCTTGGTTGGGGTCTCGCCGTCTTCCACCCACACTGGACCCAAGACCAGGATCCAGCTTCCAGTAGGTAGACCTCTCTTAATCCAGAGAGCAGGAACAGGAAAAAGCTCTTACAAGAGCTTAGTGATTATACTCTGTGGAGTATAGTGATTATAGCAATCCCCAATCCCCCAAACATGAGCCGAAACATCATGAAGGGTAGAGCAAGTCTGAGGCTTTATTGGTACAGGTTTGCTTATATACAATTCCTCAGGCCAGAGGCACAATGTCCGACACTCCCACTTACAGCACACAATCCCTCCCCTCTGCCCGTGATACAATTAACTAAGACAATGGGCTAACTCAATTAACTCTAAGCAGAAAAAACTAATTTTTACAAACCCCAAAATACAACATATCCCCACAAAAGTCCCCACATCCCCTGATAGCCCGATCTGGGTGAACAACATATCCAAAAATCACCCAGATCGGTTCAGGGGTTCAGGAATTTCCTGGAAGTCTTATTTTTGCCCCACCGTGCACATGGTCCCATGCTCAAAACAATTCCATACACTCAACGACAAAACACTGCTGGACAGTTTAAGATGGCCGCCGCTACATGTTTGAATCTGTTCCAGTTAAAAGTCCAAGGGGCAGAAACAGTACTTTTGAACATTGGTTATCACAGGGCCCATAGTCCCAGGGTAGGAGGCTGGCACACAGGCCCCTCCAAAAACCAGTGGCGAAGTGGATTTCGTCACAACATTACACCCTGTTCCAAATTATTATGCAAATTATATTTTTCTCATTTACCTAAATAATTGATGTAAATAACAGCATAATTCTCATATTATCAACTATTAAGAGTACAATTACCAGATTTTACTAATTACATGACGTAAAGTCTAGCTGTCGGAAGGTTAAGACTGGTCGAGTCAACGTCCTCCGGATTTGCTTCTTGATAAGTTTTACTTTCGCGGTAGGTAAACTGAGTGTTCCGTGCATTGCGTCTATATCGAAGCCCAGAAACTCTATCGAGTGGGAAGGTTGCAGGATCGATTTGTCCCAATTGATTAGGAAACCCAGGTTTTGCAGAAGGATCAACACCCAGGATAGATGTTGGTTCAGTAGCTGGGTGTCCTGGGCCATGATCAGCATGTCGTCGAGGTATATGATCAGACGTACACCTCTGCTGCGAAGGAGGGCGACTACCGGTTTCAGCAGCTTGGTGAAGCACCACGGGGCTGAAGACAGGCCGAAAGGGAGGCAGCGGAAACGCCACATCGTCTGTTCCCATTGGAATTGAAGTAGGTGTTGACAGTCCTCGGCAATCGGTATCGTGAGGCATGCATCTTGGAGGTCCAATTTTACCATCCAGTCTCCCAGTCTTAGCAGGTCTTGGAGGCAGTGTATCCCTTCCATCTTGAAGTGATAGTATGTGACAAAGGCGTTGAGAGGCCGCAAGTTTATTACTGGCCTCGTGCCCCCACCTTTCTTGGATACTAGGAAGATGTTGCTTAGGAACCCGGGGGCGGTAATTGGAACCTTGTATATCGCACATTTCTCCTCTAGTGTGCGAATCTCTTTTGACACCAGATGTTTGTCTCGTGGGGAAAAAACAATCCCATGTGGCAATGAGAGTTGAATCGGTTGTTGTGTGAATTCGATGTGGTAGCCGAGGATGGTCTCTAGGACCCAGGCATCTGAGGTTAGGTTGTGCCAAGCATCCTGGAAATGAAACAATCTGCCCCCCACGTGTACCAAGGGAAGGGTGTGTAATGGGAAATGACTCACCATAAGGCCGACGGCCATAGGAGGATCCCCTGGTTCCATGTGGGTGCCACGACCTGCCCCTGGTCGGGAAGAATGGTGACTGTGCCCTTGGTTCGGGCGGATGGAACCGTGTTGTGGCGGAGCCTCGATAGCCCCGGAACGGAGTCCGGGAGGGGCGGCCGGACAGACGGCCCCGCTGTCTGCCGGCCCCACCGAAAACCTTTTGCGAGAACACTCGCTTCATATTATGTTGTGCCTTATCTAGTGCCGTAAATGTGTTGACATAGTTGCCCAGGGTTTTAACAAAGTCGTCTCCGAATAAGAGACCTTTTGCCTGTGTGCCAGGCTCGGAGATTGCCAAATGTACAAATTTTGGCTCAATTTTCATTAATATGGCTTTACGCCGTTCTGTGGCCAAAGCGGTGTTGGCATTTCCAATTAGGCATATGCCTCTCTGAATCCATCCTCTGATGGCTATTAAGTCAATTGAGGTCCCCCCAGTAAGGGCCACTTCGACCATATCGAAGATTTTAGCTATAGGCCCGAGTATGTCCAGGATCTTGTCTTGGCAGTGCTTTAGGGAGTAGTCCAAACCCTTTTTGGCCCTCCTTCCTGACTTACCCAGAAACTGAGCGATCTTGGGGTCCACCTCAGGGGTCACGCAGGCCATGTCTGGGACAGTGGGGCGTGGGCATTCCGCCCTCAGCTTGTTTCTTGTGGCCTTGTCGAGGGGTTTTCTGACCCTGGTCGCAATGTAAATGGCCACATGAGTTGTGGGGTACCAATCCGCTGAACGCGGATTATGCAAGGTGTCAGGATCAAAAAGGGGTTCCCCTTGGGGATCTAACACAGCGGATTCATCCGTCTCGTGCTCAGCGTCTAGCGCTGGAGGCGCGGTTTCGCCGCGTTCGGGGGACGAATTATCTGAAAAGATTGGGTCGATGTTATCGGACCCATCTGACACCTCCTCTGAGTCCGAATCGGAGTCGGACAAATCAGATAGGGCTTTTGCCCTCTTCCAAGTCCGCACCGTTTTTGCCCGGCGGGGGGCTCTTTTACGTGGGAGCACCACGTCATCAGTCTCAACAGGGCGCAACCTGTCCGTCTTACTGGTTTTTACTGGGATTCCTGGGAGCGTCCCCCACCCGGTGGGAAGTTGAGAGAAAAACGGGTTATAAACAACCCGAAACGGCAGTGCAGGATGGGGCTTGCCTCAGGGTAGAGGCAAGTACCCTGCACTGAGGACAGTTTGAAGAACACAAGTTGTAAGCAAAATTGATAGAAAAAAATAATATATAGAAAAATAATATATAGATAACAATATTAAACCATAAGAAAATTAAACACAGTTAACATAACACAATTTTTTGTGGAGCTGAAAAATTATGTGGTACTTAGCTGAGGCAGCAGCAAAGAAAGAGGAAGTAGCTTAGGTCACATGAGGGGATATAGTACAAGGACTGATCCTATTGGTTAATGTATATGGAATGTTATATGGTTATCCCTTAAGGGTATTTGTTTTTTCTTGTTATTGCTATATTGAAAATATCAATATCCTTTCTTTGCTGCTGAGGAATAAAGAAAGAGATAAAGCCTAATAGGAGCCTCCGTGTCCTTTAATAAAATTCAAATTTTATTGAACAAACCTCCTAATGATAACAGTATTTTTTTAAACATAAACTTACAATGCACTGTTCCAAATTATTATGCACAGTAAGTTTCAAAACACTTTATAGGTTGTAAAGAACTGAAAATTGTCATTTGTTGTGTTTGCAGCATATTTATTGAAATCAAAAGCTATTTCAATCAAACTTATAACAACATTTTAACTTTTTAAACATTTTAACAGGTCACATTACATTTTAACATAGGACCCCTTATTTGAAAGCTGCTTCACAAGTCTTGCATCCTTTGAACTTGTGAGTTTTTGGACAGTTTCTGCTTGAATTTGTTTTCAAGATGTCAGAATAGCCTCCCAGAGCTGCTGTTTGGATGTAAACTGCCTCCCACCCTCATAGATCTTTTGCTTGAGGATGCTCCAAAGGTTCTCAATAGGATTTAGGTCAGGGGAGGATGGAGGCCACACCGTGACTTTCTCTCGTTTTATCCCCATAGCAGCCATTGATGCAGAGGTATTCTTTGCAGCATGAGATGGTGCACTGTCATGCATGAAGAGATTTTATTAAGGAAAACATAGTTCTTCCTTCTGTACCAGGGAAGAAAGTGGTCAGTCAGAAACTCCACATACTTTGAATAGGTTAAAGGGACCGACCAGCTCTCTTCCCATGATTCCGGCCCAAAACATGACTCCACCTCTGCCTTGCTGATGTCGCAGCCTTGTTGGAACAGGGTGGCTGTCCACCAACCATCCACTACTCCATCCATCTGGGTTGCACGGCACTCATCAGTGAACAGGACTGTTTGAAAATTAGTCTTCATGTATTTTTCTGCCCAATGCAGCCATTTCTGCTTGTGAGCATTGGTTAATGGTGGCCAAATAGAAGGTTTATGCACAGTTGCAAGACTCTGGAGGACTCTACACCTTGATGTCCGTTGGACTCCAGAGGCACCAGCAGCTTCAAATATCTGTTTGCTGCTATGTAATGGTATTTTAGCAGCTGCTCTCTTGATCCGATGCATGGATCTGGCAGAGATCTTCCTCAATGTGCTTTTATCTGCACGAACCCGTCTGTGCTCTGAATCAGCCACAAATCTCTTAATAGTGCGATGATTACGCTTACGTTTTCGTGAAATATCTAATGTTTTCATACCTCGTCCAAGGCATTGAACTATTTCACTCTTTTCGGCAGCAGAGAGATCCTTTTTCTTCCCCATATTGCATGAAAATGGTGCTCTGCTTAATAATGTGGAACACCCTCCTTTAGTAGTTTTTCCTTAAATTGGGCTCACCTGGCAATCTAATTATCACAGGTGTCCAAGATTGTTTTCAGTGATCAAAAGAGCCCTGAGACACAATACCATCCATGAGTTAAACCGAAAAACAAAATATTTAATTTTTGTGACACTTAAATAGAATTTGCATAATAATTTGGAACAAAGTGTATATAGGATAAACATTCAATAGTGGACTTGTAAGTTTAGAGGTCATTATTGTGTATTAGCTATCTACTCCAAAGGAGTGCATATCGAGTCCAGTGGAATGATAGTAAATTACACTAGTGGGTTATACTTAAATACTGTTACTGAATATTTGTTTTGGTGTTAGTAATATATTAATTTATCCTTCAATTGCGGTGTACATGTCCATAGTGCATAGTCTGTTTTGAGAATACTTTATTCCTACAGTGTAAAATGGTCACTTTTATTATGCTTCAGGTATTTTTCGTAATGTCCTCAGCTATAATGTTATGCCAGCATGGCATAATTTCCTGATCTGTCAAACCAAATCACCAAATTAATATATATATTACAGAAGGTTCATCTACATTAAAAGGTATTTATTAGAAGGCAACAACACAATACTATAAATTTATCACAAACACACAGCCCAGACCCACGGAGCAACAACCCTTTTTAAATCTATCTATCTATATAGTAATCCCCTTCCCCACACGTTTGATCTCACCCACGGTTAGGCATTCACATCTAGTAATGGCTTACTGCTGCAAGTTCAACATCACATCCACCAAGGAAGAAAAGGGAGCAACAGAGTGTAACATGGTTCACCATGCTAGCACATGGCGTCTGCTCTGTAGCACAGCCAAGAAGGAACAGAGAGGAATGGAGATAGGGGGAAGTGGTTATCTCTCTCCTGACTTGTAAAGGTATTGAATTACCCAATTACCATATCAAAGGGTAAAGCTTATCCCCCTGTAAGAAAGGCATACATGAGCTTGGTCACATGACCCCTGGTCACCATATTAGTTTGATGAGAGAATGTCACCACAATAGGGAGATATGTTCAGTAGATAATATGAAATCAAAGAGATTAATTTTGTTTTCTTCATGCTGATTAATGTCTTTTATTTCCTGTAACTGAACTATTCTAGTTTGTACCCCATCTCCTTCTGTCCCTTAGACAGTCTCTTTGTGAATGCAGGTAAGTGTACAGTTCAGCAATGCAAGAGAGGGGTAACTGGCAGACAGAGAGCAAGCGGTACTGAAAGGAAAGTGTGACGAAGTGCCCTTCGCCACTTGTACCTGGAGAGGACTGCTTGCCCGCCTCTTGCCCTGTGACTATGGCCCCTGGGATGTATTGCCCTTTAAAGACATGATTTGGGCATAATGGATTTGTGTTGTGCTGCTGCTGGCCCTTTAGGAACCATCTGGGGACATACTGTGGAGTTACTGGATGGCCACCATTTCCTGTATCAGAAGCACATGGTGAGAACAATGGATGGAGGCCATTTTAACTCACAGACACTGTTTGGACTTTTCAACACGGTGCCATCTTGCCAGTATTTGGTGCACAGAGACATCGTGCAGTGGTTTTGGACCATACAGCAGGGGACACATTATAAAGTGATTGTTTTTCATTTAGCCTGTATATGTTCTGCAGAATCTGCATTAAACTGTATTTTCCAAAGTACTGAACGGATCTGGGTGAATTTTGGATATGTGGTTCACCCAGATCCCCCGGTTCCAAGGATATACTTTTATGGGGTTATTGCATGTTTTGGGGTCCCTGTGTGTTTTATGAAACTGTATTATTTCTGGCCAGCAGATAATTGAGCTTTGTGTATTGTAGAAACTCAATTATCTAGCCTGGCCCAGAGGAGGAGTTTTGTGTTGCATAAATTGTGAGTTCTGTGTGCCAGTAAATCAGTCTTGTTCCAGCATTAAGCCTTGGCTCATGTTTGGGGGAAGGGATACCTACACTCTGGGGATTGCTATAATCACTTACTCCCCAGAGGAAGCTCTTGCAATAGCTTGATTTGTTCCTGTTCCTGCTCTCTGGGAAAAGAGAGGTTCACCCACTGGAAGCTGGATCCTGGCCTTGGGTCCAGGGTGGGTGGAAACAGCAGAGACCCCGGCGCAGTTGCATCGCTGGAAGTGGGGTCTGCAGTGCTGATGGTGTCGGTTGGAGTGCTTGGAGTCCTCAGCGAACACTAGGAGCATCGATTGGCGGAGGTACTCAGTCGGAGTGCCAGCGTTCCGTCACAGAAAGGTTTAATCAGTATCATCGCTCTGTAAGACAGAGAGCAGGTAAGTATACAATTCAGCGATACAAGGAGGCCCTGGGCAAGAGAGGGGTAACTGGCAGAAGGAGAGCAAGCGATACTGAAAGGAAAGGTTTAGGCAGTATCATCGCTCTGTGAGACAGAGCAGGTAAGTATACAGTTCAGCGATACAAGGAGGCCCTCGGCAAGAGAGGTGTGACTACAGCGAAGTTTCAGAATTTGTCCAAATTACTGACTTTAGCCTCAATTTTAACCTTGAGATTTAATTTGCTACAATGTGGTGTTTAGTAAATAACCAAGTGTGAATTTTCATCACCCCATAACGTGTTCTCTTTTTCTTTCAGCACGTATGTTGTGCTGTTTCCAGTTATTTTGGTAAATTTCACTGTGACCGTGTTTCTCTCTCTGAGTACAATTAAAGGGTCACTATAGTCACCAAAACAACTTAAGCTTAATGAAGCAGTTTTGGTGTATAGATCATGCCCCTGCAGTCTCACTGCTCAATCCTCTGCCATTTAGGAGTTAAATCCCTTTGTTTATGAACCCTAGTCACACCTCCCTGCATGTGACTTGCACAGCCTTCCTAAACACCTCCTGTAAAGAGTCATCTAATGTTTATCCTTCCTTTATTGCAAGTTCTGTTTAATTTTATGGCAAGACAGGAGGCTTCATATTTGCTTATCTTTCTTTACTGTAACTCCCAGCAGCAAAGAAATGGTTAACAATGTTGTATGGAAAAATCAACCAATCATAACATATCTCAACTACAATATAGTGTCATCAAACTCCTCCCACTTCCTCTTTCTTTGCTGCTTGCCTCCCAGGTGAGTCTGCTCCAATTACATTGCCTTACTGGTTTAAGTTAATTCGATATTTTTTTATTTACACCTTGTTACTGCATACTCAGAATTCATCTTAAAAAATTTATTTTTTAATTTAATCACCTTTCCCTTTAAATATTTTCCTCTTTTTTCCTCACACATATTTTGTATTTTTTCTTATTTCACTGTTCTGTTATTTTGATTGCTTTTCCTTTAAATTTAGGTGTCCTAACCGGTTCCTCTTTTAGTTCCAGTGCACGGAGGGTTTTTTCAAACCCTGCCGCTTTCAATCAGCTGGCCGCGGCTCTATTCTCTCAGGGAGAGCCGCGGCCCATTCTCTGTCTCTCTTCAGCCGCGGACTCCATTTCCCAGAGTCCGCGGCTGCTGTTTCCCGCCGTTACCTTCCTCCCGCCTACCAAAGGCGTCTCCTCTTTGACGCGGACCTTTTTCCCGCCCTTTCTACGACGGCGTTCTCGCGGCGGCCATCTTAAGCCTTAGTAGTAACGGCCAACGGCTCCTCCACTGCGGCGCACAAATTTTACAATCAAGTGGGTACAGACCTTATTAATAGTTTGTGGAAGGTAGGTTTGCTGCCACCTTATATCTTCACCTTTTTCACAAGCTCATTAAAAACGATCTTTTTCTTATCTATCTCCTATCTGTTTTTTCTCCACAGGCTTTGCCCATTTTTTTTTACTATCTGGGTGAACCCCTTTCTTTAAATTGTATAATTACAGTGTGGTTTTTGTTTTTTGACCAAATTTTGCTGTTTGACCATTTTATTTCCCTCATGTGGGTGAACCCCACTTACTTATCTAAAGTACATATTATGTACAATATTTGTGTGGCTGACACCACCTACTGAAAACACTGCTGTGTAAATATTTATGTGGCTAACACCACCTGATTTATTTTCTGTGGGTGACCCCCATTACTTACTGTGCATTATATATACATTATATATATTACTAGTGTAATTTTATAGTGTTGACCCCACCTCACTAAATTTACAAGATTTCTAGTACTCACAATCTGTATTATTGGGTGACCCCCATTATTTGTCATTTACTAATTTATTGTGCCAAGCATTTGTGGGTGACCCCCATTGATTCTGACGTCTCGTGGGTGACCCCCACCTCATATTTTTCTAATTGAGTTGCCTCATCCTTAATTGACACTCTAATAGGGTTTACATTTATCTTGAAATTGTCATTATGTCAGATCGCCAAGACCCTGCGATTTCTGCTGAACTTAAGGAATGGCTTTTCTCAACCATCGCAGAGTCCATTCCTAAGGCTCTGGCAGCCTACCATGAACGTAATCCAGAGGTACACCCCTTTACACAACAGCCCTCTGATTCTGAGGACTCCCATATTTCCGACCAAGATAACGCCCCGCGCAAGAGACCCTGGAAAGGGAATAGCGCTACTGCGGGCAAGGGCAAAGCTCCTGCTAAGGTCATTAAACACTCTAAACCTTACGTTTCGCAGGATGCTACAGACCTTCTAGAGGGTTCTACTTCACGTTTATCTGGCCATATTCTAAGTGACTATGACCCTAATTACTCTGATGAGGATCCCATGGTGAATGTGCCCCAGGATTCCTCAACATCGGAGTTTGTGAAAGAAACCTTCCTAAGTCAAGATCACAAGAGTAAGGTACCTGACTCAGACACCATCCTGGATGCTTCAGGCCTTCCCCTTTTTGACCCAAGGGTGATACGCCACCCGCGCTCAGCAGAATGGGCTCCCCCAGATCATATTGCTAATTTCTGTAAACTGTGGCTTCGCAAGCCTCTCGAAAAAGAAATCAGAAACAAACTAAGGGCGAATGCCCGAGACCAACTATTCCAGGCAAAGTTGCCTCTACCCCTGAATTTGACCCCATGCTGGTCACCTATTTAACAAAATCTGGTAAAGACCCTCGTAAGGGTATTGAACAGGGTTTGAAAGCAACCCAAGACAAATTATTGGACATTTCAGGTCCTATCATACAAATATTCATACTCGCAGATGAGGCACTCACCAGCGGTGAACTTGATCCGCACATTATAAGAGAATGGGCACAGAGAGCCCTTTGCCTTTTGGGCAACGCCAATACGGCTATTTCAATTGAGAGACGCAAAGCGGCACTGTACAAAATCGATGCCAAACTGGTGGATTTGAGCACTAAAGAACTAGGCCCAGAGGCCGATGGTCTTTTATTTGGTAACAGTTTCATGCGAGACCTCTCCAAGCATGTCTCAGTTTTTACCACACTCAATAAAGCCCAGTCCTCTCTACGTAGGGTGTTCCGTCCCACTTTTCAAAATCGTTTTTCTGGGAGAGCTGGTCGCTCAAGGGGCCGAGCTACCAGTAGAGCAGCCTTTTCAGGCTACAGGCCCCGACCCACAGAGTATTGGTCCACGGGATACTCACGACCCTACCACAGGCAGCTGTTCGGCACCAGAGGCTCAATTCGAGGACGTGGCTCTGCATCCCTACGCGGACGCACTGCTTCAGGTAATGGACCTTGCTTATTTAAAAACTGTATCAATCGCAGGTCGATTAACATTTTTTTTCCCACAGTGGAAACTTCTTTCTCAGGATCTTTGGATCCTTCATACAGTCACAGGTTTCAAAATAGATTTTATCACACATCCAGTTCAATATTCTCACCCGACACCCTTAGGGATGTCAAAAGCAGATACTCTAACCTTGAACACAGAACTGACAAAATTGTTACACAAAGGGGCGATCGAACCTTCGCCTTTCCCTTGCACCTTCCTCAAGAATATATTTCTGGTTCGGAAGAAAATGGGGGACCATCGTCCCATTATCAACCTCAAGGCGTTGAATCGCTTTATCACATACCGTCATTTCAAGATGGAAGGTATCCATCTTCTCAGGGACTTGCTCTGCATGGGAGACTGGTTCTCCAGATTCGACCTCAAAGATGCTTATCTGACGGTCCCTGTAGCACCAAGTCACCGTGCCTTCCTCCAATTCCGTTGGCAAGGCGACATTTGGCAGTTCACCTGCCTCCCTTTTGGACTTTGTTCTGCTCCATGGTGTTTCACCAAGTTGATGAAACCAGTCATGGCGCTCCTTCGTTCTCAGGGCATACGTTCAATTATATATTTGGACGATATCCTGATCATGGCACAAGATCAGCAATTACTTCGCAAACACACACACATGACCTCTGCCCTCCTTCAAAACCTAGGTTTTGTCATAAATTACCAGAAATCAGACCTGGTACCTTCTCAAATAGTCCAATTTTTGGGTTTTCAGATAGATTCAGTTCAAGCAACTCTACAATTACCCTACTCCAAAATCAAAAACATAAAACGAGAGATTCAAAAATTACTCAAGTCACAACGACCTCGACTCCGCGACCTAGCACACGTGCTGGGTCTTCTGTCTGCATCAATTCAGGCTATTTTTCCAGGGCCCTTGCATTACAGAGCAATGCAACGGCTGAAAACCTCCTATTTACATCGCTCGACCTCCTACGACCAATTCATTTCCCTAACGGACGAAGTTCTCATCGAACTTCACTGGTGGCTTCGCAATATGGAAGCCTGGAATGGGAAAGCGATTTTCGGATCTCAACCAGATTTTATTCTGGAATCCGATGCCAGCCTACTCGGTTGGGGCGCTACGTGCGCCCAATCATACACAGGAGGTCTCTGGTCCCCGTCGGAACAAGCACTTCACATAAATTGTCTCGAGCTCATTGCCGGATCCTTCGCGATCCGCAGCTTTGCCAAAGAAGCCTCCAACTGCTCTCTGGTACTTCGGATGGACAACATCTCCGCAGTACGATATGTAAACCGTCTCGGAGGGTCCAAATCGAAACTACTGTCAGACCTCACCAAGGATCTGTATCAGTTTTGCTTAGACAGGAATCTGTCTATTCGGGCCGAGTATCTCCCAGGACCCGACAATTTAGTCGCGGACTGGTTCTCACGTCACTGGAGGGATGCCAGCGATTGGCAATTAGATCCTCTTCTATTTCACCACATTCACCTATTGCGGGGACCGATCACTCTCGACCTCTTCGCGTCTCGGCTGAATCGTCAAACAGACGATTATTTCAGCTGGTTACCAGACCCTCTATCCCTAGCTGTCGACGCTTTTCTCCAACATTGGCCACGGGACGGAGCCTATGCCTTCCCTCCCTTCTCCATGATTCAACGTACTCTCCACCAGGTCAAATCACAGGGGGTCAAGATTGTGATAGTTACCCAGACGTGGTTACCCAGACGTCTGGCGGGCCCAGACGTGGTTCCCCACTCTTCTGGAGCTTTCCACAGACTACCCCATCATTCTACCTCGCTCACATCGGGTTCTCAAGAACTCAACGGGCGACTACCATCCACTAGCTCTACAGGGCCATCTTCAGTTAGTGGCCTGGACAGTTTCAGGGGTGCTTGGCATGTCGCAGGACTTTCAAGCACTGCTCAAACACTCCTATGGGATTCATGGGCACCGGGAACCAGGCGCACCTATCTCGCCGCATGGCGAGTTTGGGTCAGCTGGTGTCTGGAGAGGGATTTCGATCCCGTTTCAACATCTCTCTCATCCATTCTAAATTTTCTATCATCCCTTTTCGATCAGGGTAAATCATACCGCTCAATTAATGTTTTTCGTTCCGCCATTTCGGCGGGACATGACCCTATTGATAATTCCTTAGTTGGGAAACATCCTTCTGTGTGCAGACTTTTACGAGGCATTCGTTTGACGAGGCCACCTTCTGCCAAATACTCTGGCTTCTGGGACATATCTCGAGTCTTCGCATTGTTAGAGTCCTGGCCTCCTAACGAGGCCTTATCCCTTCGACAGCTCTCTGCAAAATTGGCCCTGCTACTGTGGCTGGTGTCATTCCGCAGAGTTTCTGACGTTCACGCTTTTGATTCACACGCTGTCTCCTTCACACCAGAAGGGGTCCGATTAAAGATTACTAGGCGCACTAAGACGAATTCCTCGTCTGTCTTTTACCCATACTTTCCCGACAGGCCGGCTCTCTGTGTGGCTCTGTGTACTCGTTGTTACACAGAGGCAACTGCCGCCCTACGTTCTCCTACCGGTCCTCTTTTCATTTCTTATGTCAGACCTCACAAACCGGTCTCTTCCCCCACTATCGCTCGCTGGATAAGATGGTTACTTATCCAAGCGGGAATCGATAGATCATTTGGGGCCCATTCGGTTAGGGGAGCGGCTGCTTCCTCTGCCTTTCGGGCCGGCAGTTCATTAGCAGATATTTTGTCCTGCGCAGATTGGTCAAGGGAATCTACCTTTCGGACTTTTTATTTTAAACCAACACAAACACATGCGGCTTGTTCTATTATTCGAGAGCGTTAAAACAGCAAATATGAAGCCTCCTGTCTTGCCATAAAATTAGGGATTATTCTAGCTTTAGTGAACGAATAATCTGAATTTTATTAAAGACAGGAGGCGAATATTTTCCCTCCCTTCGTTCACTCCGGAACCCACCCTCGAGGTAAGTCTCATAATCACTAATTAATGTATGATACCATTATTTACATACAAATCTGCTATATACGATTTGTTCATCTTGTGGTCCTACACCTATCTCATAGAGTGCTGATAGATCTTTATAATTTCGATTATTCTGTCAATTCGTATGAACTATAATTGGAAATAGGGGGTTCAACTATATATATTTTTTCTCTTGTCCGAGAAACCTTACTTTCACGAAGTCTCTTTTTTTCTTTTAGTGTGAAGATCTCAAGTTTATTCGATCAACTTTCCGTTTACATGGTTGACTTCATCTCGAGTTTCAGCTTCGGGAACTGTTCCGGTTAAAGTTTACATGGTTGACTTGCTACTGACTGGCAACATCAAGAAAGAGGAAGTGGGAGGAGTTTGATGACACTATATTGTAGTTGAGATATGTTATGATTGGTTGATTTTCCATACAACATTGTTAACCATTTCTTTGCTGCTGGGAGTTACAGTAAAGAAAGATAAGCAAATATTCGCCTCCTGTCTTTAATAAAATTCAGATTATTCGTTCACTACAAGCTAGAATAATCCCTAATTTACATTTTCTTATCCCCTTCTATGTTAATAGCTTGCTAGACCCTGCAAGAGCCTTCTGTATGTGATTAAAGTTCAATTTACAGAGCAAGAGATAAAATTGTTTAAGATAAATTACATCTGATTGAAAGTGAAACCAGTTTTTTTTTCCATGCAGGTTGTGTCAATCAGAGCCAGGGGAGGTGTGGCAAGGGCTGCATAAACAGAATCAAAGTGATTTAACTCCCATATGGAGAATTGAGCAGTGAAACCTGAGAGGCATGATCTACACACTAAAACTGCTTTGTTAAAGGACCACTCTAGGCACCCAGACCACTTCAGCTTAATGAAGTGGTCTGGGTGCCAGGTCCTTCTAAGGTTAACCCATTTTTTTTATAAACATAGCAGTTTCAGAGAAACTGCTATGTTTATCAATGGATTAAGCCTTCCTCCAAATCCTCTAGTGGCCGTCTCATTGACAGCCGCTAGAGGCGCTTGCGTGCTTCTCACTGTGAAAATCACAGTGAGAGCATGCAAGTGTCCATAGGAAAGCATTATGCATGCTTTCCTATGCAAAGAAATTGAATATACACACACAGGTTGTGGAAAGGTGGCGCTATAGAATTATTATATTAAAGTGAATTTAGCTGCTATACACTCTGTGGGTACTCCTAAAAACCCAACATACATAGAAATCACCAAACAACAATAAAGGAAATTTTCAGATTTATCAGGTGTCTATCCCTTTAAATCCTCAATTCCCGTGAGTGAAGCGCTTCAGTGTAATTTAAGATATTGTGAATATATATATGTGGTGCCAAGAAGCACTTACCATCTACACAATGCTCGTATTTCCGTATACATATATATAGGGAAAAAAAATAGATATATACAAATAATAGTGCAATATGTCTAAGGAATCAGTTTTTATTATATATGTGAGTTCGAATGTAAATTAACTCACATTTTTTAGAGCCTTTTACAGTGGTAAGGCTCTAAACTTCCAAACGTCTGTGTCTTTTGGGTAGATCACACAACCCCTCTCTCTCAATGACGGACCATCTGTTGTTCTCCAGGATATATGAAGATGAAACAGAGAAAAAACGTCCAAACTAAGTGTAGTATTTAAAATACCAACGTGTATCAATGTGGATAAAAACCAGAAAGAGTGCTCACCTTTTCTAGAGCCTTTTTATAACTGGCTCTAAGTATGTAGGTTCAGTGTCAATTTATAGGGTGACACTATCCCTTTCTTGAATCACTTGTGCAGGATGTAGTAGATATAATGTATAACAAATATGTTTATTACCAATATTAAAATGTACAGACTATATATAAAAACAAAAAAAGGGGGTATATAAAAACATATGAATAATACTAGTGTATTCAGTGGTGTAGCATAAATCCACTTGCAGCCAAAACGCGTTTCACCGAAAATCGGCTTCCTCAGTCAGCTTCAGGACGTCTTCTGTCTTCCATTGCTTTTAAATGTTCATTTGCCCGCCAAAAGTTCTCTTTCTGCCGGTCCGCGGTGATTTGCCGTGACGCGCCCAAACTAGCGTCGCGTCACTTCCGGTTCGATGTTACTACATCTCCCATAGTTCATTGCGTTTGTAAATGTCATTTCCGGTTGTGGACCGCTATGGTGATGGGCAATGAAGTCCTTGATATCGTCGTTTTTCAGTTCATGTTCCAGTTCATAACAGGCTCAAAATAAAGAGCCGAAATGGTGGGAAAAAGATATCAAAAGGGCAAGAAGTATATATCAATGTGCAGTATTTCATATGCGGATTTCAAAACTTAAAGTTAAAACAATATATACCATATATCTTATAAACAGTGATATTTCTACACTTAATAAACTTTTCTGTGAATAATTCTTTTTTAAAAAACAAGAAAATAAAAGTGTTTTTGTGAACTATTATATTCTGGGTTTCACATTGTGCATAATAAACATTTAAAAAGGGGGTATTCATACTATGTTTCACTTAAATCATTTTTTTTTTATTTATTTTTTTAAATGTAAACTTTTTTGCTTTATACCCAAAATTATAGCAGATTGAGTTTAAAAACACCCTAAAGTGGTATTAATGTCTCTTGCAGTTGATGAATCCTGTCCTTCAGTATAATATAATAAAAAATGAAAAGTATGGAATAGAAAAATTGAAATTAAAAAAGAATGGAAAAATGAAAGATAAATGATAAATAAATATAAAAATAAAATAAAATAAAAATAAAAATAAAAATAAAAATAAAATTAAAAATAAAAATAAAAATAAATGAAAAAATAATAAAAATAAATAAAAATAAAAATAAAAATAAAAATAAAAATAAATAAATATAAAAATAAAATTAAAAATAAAAATAATAAAAATAAAATTAAAGTAAGTGAAATAAATATGAAATTAAAATTAAAAATGAATGAATGAAAAATAAATAATAAAATAAAAATAATAAAAAATAAATAATAAAATAAAAATAAAAATTAATTAAAATGGTAAAGGTAGAAACGTAGGAAATTGGATTTAAATTAGGGTAGTAGAAATGACTCGTAAAAAATAAAAATAGATAAAGCAAGATATGCTAAAATAATAAGAATGAAATAAAATAAAATAATTGTTAAATATAAATAGAAATAAATTGTGTATATATGTGTATAATAATTATAAAAAATGACATAGTTCAAAATCTGCATTAAGACCTAAGGGAGCTAAAGTATTTAAATTAAAAATCCATTTAGTTTCGATTTTTCCCAGCTTCCTTATTTCATCCTCCCCTCTCCAGTTTAGTGTGACTTTTTGGATGGCATAAAAATCTAAAAACTGTGGATCTTTGTTATGTACTAGTCTAAAGTGTTCTGAAACACTATGTTTTTCGAAACCTTTTTTTATATTGCGTACATGTTCATTTATTCTTACGTTTAAGGGGCGTTTTGTTCTTCCTACATAAAGAAGATTGCAGGAACATTTCAATAAATAAATGACTCTTTTTGAAAAGCATGTAGTCATTTCCTGTATTTTATATTTCCTTTCCCTTTTGGAATCGTAGAATTCTGTAATGTGTCTTTTCTCGTTCTTTGTACTCCTACAGGCTAGACACTGTCCACAACCAAAGAAACCCTTATTTTGAAAAAAAGGAGTAGGTGTCTGATGTCTTATATGATTCCGTACCAATTTTTGTTTTAGGTTGGGAGCTCCTCTATAGATAAATCTCGGTTTTTCTGGCAATATAGAGTGTAGCATTGGATCGTTCCTTAGAATGGGCCAGTGTCTGTTTATAATTCGTTTTATTTTCTGGCTCTCTTGATTGAAATTACAAATGAAAGGTAAGATGTTTTTGTCGTTTTTTTCTTTTGATTTGTATTTTAGCAGTGAGGATCTCTCCATGGTTTCTACTTCTTTTATAGTGCTCATAAGGGAATTTTCCATATACCCTTTTTCCATAAATTGATTTTTAATTCTATTGGCTTGGGTCTTAAAAGTGCTTTGGTCAGTGCAATTCCTACGGATTCTCATTAGTTGTGCTTTTGGGATATTTCTCAACCAGGGAGAAAAATGACAGCTATTTAAAAAGATATAGTTGTTAACATCTACCTGTTTAAAAAAGGTCTTTGTCTTAATGTGATTGTCTTCTATAAAAATTGTGAGATCTAAAAAATTGACACTTTCTGTGCTATATTCCGTGGTTAGTTTTACTCCCCAATCATTTAAATTTAAAAAAGCTAAAAATGTCTTAAGTGAATCCTCTGAACCATTCCAAATAAAGAATATATCGTCTATGTACCGCTTATAGGAAACCAGGTTCGCTCTCCAGTTAGTATTTTCATTGATATATTCCTCTTCCCAAAATGCCATGAATAAATTGGCATAACTGGGAGCGAACCTGGTTCCCATAGCGGTACCCACTTTTTGTAGAAAAAACTCATCATTAAACCAAAAGTAATTGTTACTTAGAATTAATTCTATTCCTTCAATTATGACCACATGCTTTTCAAAAAGAGTCATTTATTTATTGAAATGTTCCTGCAATCTTCTTTATGTAGGAAGAACAAAACGCCCCTTAAACGTAAGAATAAATGAACATGTACGCAATATAAAAAAAGGTTTCGAAAAACATAGTGTTTCAGAACACTTTAGACTAGCACATAACAAAGATCCACAGTTTTTAGAGTTTTATGCCATCCAAAAAGTTACATTAAACTGGAGAGGGGAGGATGAAATAAGGAAGTTGGGAAAAATCGAAACTAAATGGATTTTTAATTTAAATACTTTAGCTCCCTTAGGTCTTAATGCAGATTTTGAACTATGTCATTTTTTATAATTAATATACACATATATACACCATTTAATCTGACACATATCTAACTATTATTTTATTTTATTTCATTCATTTTTTATATTATCATATTTTGCTTTATTTATTTTCATTTTTAGACATTTTTACCACCTCAATTAAATTTAAATTTAATTTCCCATGTTTCTACCTTTACCATTTCAATCAATTTTAAATTTTTATTTTATCATTTATTTTCATTTTTCATCTATGTTTAATTTAATTATCATATCTACTACACTTACCTTATTTTTATTTTATATTCATTTTCTATTTTTATTTATTTTTAATTCTCATTTATTTTCATTTTTATTATTTATTTTTATTTCTATTTTTATTTATTTTCATTTTTATTTTTATTTCTATTTTTTATTTATTTTAATTTTATTTTTATTCATTTTATTTTATTTTTATTTTTATTCATTTTTATTTTTATTTATCATTTATTTTTCATTTTTTCATTTTTCCTTAATTTCACATTGTT